ATGATGAGCTTGAGCTAAATGGAACTCTTGACCCTTCCTTTTTCAACAACATTGCCGATCAACCTGAATTAGAGCTTGAAAATTACGGCTGTCTATCCGAGAATGACAATGAATTGATCCCTCCAGAAGATTCTCATTCCAATGCCAATGCCGAAGAGGATTCTGAAAACAATGCAAATATCCCTGATATTCAGGCTTGGCGAGATTCAAGACGAGATGCTAGAATGAAAGCAAAAGCTCAAGCAGATGAATTAACTATTTCTGATCAAGCGTGTGCACAGAGATGAATGGTGTCTTGAAGAAGGTAAGAATTTTCTTGAATTCACAAAATCTGATCAGGTTCTAAAGCTTATCTACGCACTCTTTGATCTTAGCTTGATTTTGTACTTCGCAAGATAACAGGATCTGCAGCTAATTGTCTATACTTCCGATCAATTGCCAAGGTAATGAAATTGACTGTCCGTGATCTACTGGCTGCTTACGGTATTTGTTGGAATATCAAGTGGGAGAGTCATCAGCGTGCATGGGAGGCTCGTGATGTAAGCTTATTTTGTTCCTTTTGAATATATCCCACCTTGGTTGATTATAGACCCCTTTTGTTGTAGGTGATTGACGAAATTTTAAAGCAAGATCAATCAGAGGCACCTCGCCCCCAGGACAGTCAGTGTACCAATACCACCGCTAATGGGAGTCACAAAAGCTCTATTCATGACCCTATCTTGAACCATCAGCGTGATATCTTCAAGAAAATCACTTTCAGTCAAGATGATTGGAAGCTTGTTCGAGCCCTTAATGTTGAGCTCAAAGTGAGTAGTTTTACAAATTTTCAATCAATCTGTACCCATACTGATATATTTCCTTTAGGTTTATGCTGACCTAACTAAAGATATGGAAGGTGATGGACCAACTGGATGCATGGTACTTCGAAAGTATTATCAGCTTCAGAAGAAGCTTAAGAAGAAGAATTCAAAGAGCAACCACACTGACACATTATATCCAATGTACCTTGCCATGCTGACTAGTGTTGAGAAGTACTTTAATGAAGCACTTGAGTGTGAAACAATTGTTATGGCGACTATCTTACACCCAAGTTGGCGAACCCATTTCTTTTCGACTGCATTCGGCTCAAATTCATCCAAGTTCAAGATGGCAACTCAGCTACTCAAAACCCATTTTTCT